TCCTCTGTATCCACCTCCTCCAGTGCAAAAAGAGACAAGCGCGTGAACTGCTATTTATACTCAGCCACTGTCATGTTCCTTTGTTGCAGATTAAGAAACTCAGTCTTCATGGCTGCCCTGACTGTATAAGGGAAGTACTTCTCATCAAAGCGTGCACTGAACTGATCATAGGTCAATAACATCCTCTCCTCTGCAGTGATAACTGACTCCCACCACTGTAGTGTATCTCCAACTAGCTTGAAGGTAGAAAGCATCTGCTTCTGAACCTCCGTACACTGAACTAAATGAAGATGTCGCTCAATGTCCTGTTTTCACTAGTGAGTTGCTCTCGCATCGGTGGAGCCTGAAAACACAGGTGGACTCCCCTTTGTGAAAGAACTCCTAGCCTTTTCTCATGAGTCAGTCGGAACAACCGGTGCTGGTACAGGTGCCTGCTGAACCGGTGGTTGATTCTGAAGTGCAGCTGTTACCCCAGCTTCTATGGCCCGAGCAACGAAGTCATTGAGGTGAGGAGGAAACTCTGGATCTCTAACCTGACCCGGAGTCTGCTGAACTTCCTCCTGCTTATTACGAAACTGACCACTGTCATCCTCAAATCCAGACAATTGCTGCTCATCTTCCATTAGCTGACACTGTAGGCATTCTTGCTGCCTACGTGCCGCTCTCCTCTGCCTCTTATTTCCTTGCACGTTCTGTCCTCTTCTCCTACCGTTAACCATCCGTTAACACGGAAAGACAGACATCAGTACGTTTTAAGTGAACCGTAAAAGAATTCAACGAATCTTAAACTTAAGCTCTAATCAAGAGAAAACACTACGTGGAAGACTTAATATGAAACACCCTAGAGATACTTGAACTTAGAGGGCTCTGATACCAACTGTGATACCCCTCGGATCCGAGACACGGGTTGATTAGGCCCAGGCCCAAACCCGAGGGATATCAAACAATTAATATGTTAAAACGAACACGGCATACAAAATGATTAAAGAAATAATATAATGAGCTAGAAGAAACTAAAATATAAAATCCTTTAATATTAAATATACTTAAATCCCAATAATCCAAAACAACCTCCATAAATTAAACAACTCGAGAATCCATCTCTAGTGGACCCCTAATAGAAATCCCAAACTGAATGAAAGTAAAACTGAAGATAAAATCCAAATCCAAGATCTGGAAAGAAGTCCTACATCGTTGGTAGAATGGAAGATCGTCTTTGTTCAGTACGAACAAGTTCAAGCCTGGAACTGATGTACACCTGAAAAATAGGAGTGGGTCAGGCCCACGAACAAGTCCTAATCGATTACAATCCAAGTAGAGACTCGATACGCATATACACTCTAACCAACTCAACAATAACTATATAATCCGTGTCTATATATATATATATATATATATATATATATATATATATCCACACTATGGACTCTCACTGGACTATGATACGGGTCTCAACCTGAGTAGAAGGTAACATACAAAATGCACCTGAGTAGGCATGATTACCTAAGCCTAACAGGGTACACCTCAACCAGCATAGCCAGTTACACGTCCTATTGCATATACGCTCCCTAACCGTTGACTCTTAGACTCAAGCTCAAGTCACGGTACCATAATAATATATTTAAAATCTGTTTACATTCATCCATAAGAAATCCAGTAAGTCGTTCAGCTTATTCAACTGTACAGACTTAAGTCGTTCAGCTTATTCAATTGCACAAACTTATACATAAGGAGGATTCTATTTTTGTGATCCGTTCCCTCATTCCAAAGTAGGTAGGACTTAGCAATTTGAGCTAATCTAAACCTAGTATGTCACCGTCCCATACCGGTACATACAATCCAATCCATCCAACAGTTGATAGCACACATAATCAATGCACATAACAACTGAAACATAATAAACATAAATAGAGATATAGACTAATATGCTTACTCCAGTTACTGATAGATCAAAATAATAAGATGTATCAATTAATTCCATGATAAACATAAATTAAACAGATAAGCATCATGTTCATCCCATATCTTCGTTACAAATTATCTTACTCTGAGCATGTAGATAATTTATTCTTCTCATCCATAAAACCATGATAAGTCTAATAAAACTATATTAATTATCATGCTTAATAAACCAGTAGGATTTTGGGACTTAGAACATCTCAAAACACCCAAGGATAGCTTCCTCCAGAATTTGAAAATCCCAAAATCTGAGTTCCACAGCCCAAATAGTCGCCGAAAAACTCAGAAAACTGAAGAACTGAAGAGAGGCTGCTCCAAACAAGTTGGAACCACCTCCAACCAAGATGGAGCCGTCTCCAAACCACTTGGAGCTGCCTCCAAGGCACTTTGAGCTGGCTCCAAAATATTTTGGAGCCGCCTCCAACCTCCTCTCCCCTTATCTGCTTCTTCTCTTCAACTACGTCTTCTCCTGTGTCTATTCCGGCGACGTCCAGTTTGTTTGTCCTCCTAACCTAAGGTTCAAAAAGGTTTGAACTAAACTCTAAGGTGTTCCAGAGACCATTAACCTCTTTGTCTAGTGACCAACCATGATTTAAACCCGAATTATACATTAACGATTTAACACAGATAATTTACAGTTTGTAAACGCTTATTGTTTAAACAATTCAAACACTGTAATCCAGATTACTTCTAGTAGTTTTCAACAGGTTCCAAACTAATTAAACGCTTAAAACACCAAGTGATATGAATTTAAAATAGAAGTTATGCAAAGAGGAAATTTAAACCAACAATACATATCTTGCAACCACGTCCAGTTTAAAACTCAGACATGCATACTAGTTGAATTTTAAACTTTATATGATCTTGGAATTGTATTAGAGATGCAAAGAACACGAGTTTAAGGAATAGAGATAGGATTAAAACTTGCCTTTGAGATTTTTGTTCAAAATCTCTACGTCGTCTTTTAAGGTTCCGGCGATCCCTACTGAAATCCCTCATTTGTTCTTTCTCTACCTCCATAGACGTGAATAGGGTTCTAAAACCCTAGGCCTAACTTTAATGTGTTTATTTATAGAGTTATACAAAACCTAAATTAATTCAAGCCTTAACAGAATCCAAATCGGCCCAGAGAAAACTTAATTAAAACCTACGTCGGCTACCTACTTGACTTCTAAAAACAAAACCCTAATTATATTTTCATAACGAATAATTAATTAAAATACTTCTTAAATTAAAACATTTAATAATCAATTCAATTAAAGGAAAACAATAAATTCCAATGTAACGAAATACAAAAAAAAAAAACAAGTTTATAATTAATACAGAAAATAAAATACCATTTAATAATTAATTAATTCACAAAATCACCATTAAATAACAAGTCATCAATTATTGCAAATAAACACGCCAATCAACAAGTTAAACAATTTAAAATTCAAATACAATTTAATAATTCAATTAAAACAATAAATCAAATACCAGGACTATCCTTTTGAAATTAGGGGTATTACAGCTCTAGAGGGCGAGCTTCATGTAGGCCGATCGGATCTCCTTTTTCATTTTGATCTCTAATTTATATATATATATATATAACAGATCAAAATCAAAATTTGAATATTAATTCAATTAGGTTCAATTGCAAATTAATGAGGTCCGAAATCATTCAATCGCAAATATATACAGGCATTGATGCTCTCTCATGACCATGAAAGCCCGGCGAAGGTACCGGTGCTTTAGCTACCATGAATTTATGAGAAGGTATAGAGATAAGAGAATGATGGTTAATGGTGATAATCTTGGCTTGGTGGAGAGCGGTGGTTGGCATTTCTAATGTTGGGTGTGGGGGTTGCGGTGGTTGGTAGGTGGATCTCACCACCGCCATTGATCACACGAAACTCTATTTTGGCAGCGGCGTCACTGTGGGTGATGGCTTTCATGGTCACCATCAAGCGGTGGTTGAAGAAGAAGAAGAAGACGGTGGTGGGAGGAACTGGCGGCATAGAGTAGAGAGAGAATGATGGGTATTTTCGAAAGACTAAAAAGGCAAAATGGGTATTGCAATAATAATTTAGGGGTGTTTATTGCATAGAGGGGGAATTTTGCATAATTTCAAAAGATTAGGGGTGTTTATTGCACACTCTTTTCAATAGGGAGTAGAAGTGTTACTAAAAGTATACTTGAGTGTTGTTTTCTGCACTTCTCCCATGTGTATATATATATATATGTATGGTACATTGATTTTGCAACATCTCAAAATTAAAGGAGGAATACTTGTTTTGCAATAGATGGAGTAACATTTTACCCATTCAATTTGTAAGAACTCTTTCATGAAATAGATAACATCATCTTAATTTGAACAAAGAATTAATCGTTCAATTAATCAATAATTATGAATATTATTTTTGTTGAGTGTTGCAGCTAAAGAGTAGTACTACAACTATTTACAACACCTACATTATTGTTATATATATATATATATATATATATATATATATATATATATATATATTTTTTTTTTTTTTTTTAGATCACATTTTTTCATATCCATATCAGACTTCGATCAAAGTTCATGATTTTGAAAAGTGTTGACTTTTACTCCATCTCCGAGTAAATAAACTTCTAAAACTCCATTTTTTTGTAATTTTTCCTAATATAATATTTCTTTTATAATTATAAAACTAGGCCTCCAAACATTAAAAAACGTACATTAATAATACTAAATTTTTTTCAAAAATTAATTAAAATTATAATACTTGTTTTGCGAAAGATGGAATAACATTATACCCATTCAATTTGCAAGTGATCTTTCGTTAAACAGATAACATCATCTTAATTTGAACAAAGAATCATTCATCCAATAATTATGAATATTATTTTTGTTAAGTGTTGCAGCTGAAGAGTAGTACTATAACCATTTATAACACCTACATTATTGTTTAATATATATATAATCTTAAATCACGTTTATAAGAACCAGGACTAAAAACTTGGGGTCGTAGAAAGTGTAAGGTGATATTTGAGAACATTAGATACTAGTTTATATGGAGATGGATCGGTTGTTGTGGTGTGTTTGGATATTGTTTCACATCCATGTTAATGGATCCTTTGGTTGCTTGGAGTCAGAGAGAATGGGTCTCTTGGAAATAAAAGCTTGCATCAACTATCCAAATGGAACTTCTCTGCGATACTGGGACGATAAAGAGAACAACTGTTGTGATTGGCTAAACGTCGAGTGCAAGAACGGAAAAGTAATCAAACTTCTACTCAATGGCACAAGGGAGAACCAGTTAGGATATTGGTATCTGAATTCCTCACTGTTTCTTCCCTTTACAGACCTCGTATATCTAGACTTGAGTAATTTGGGCCTAGCCGGTTGTGTTGAGCATCAAGGTTTTTTTTGTTGATTGCATTCTTTTTTTTTTTTTTTGGAATTTCTCACATTAAAATTTCAATATAATTTACAGGTTTTGAAAGATTATCTAAGTTAGGTAAGTTAGAGGTGGTTATATTGGATTAGAATTTATTTAATAATAGCATCTTACCATCTCTTGGTACACTTACATCACTCAAGGCTCTATCTCTAGCCGAACTGATCATTCACACACACGGTAATTAATTCAAGAATGAAATACCATTTCCAGCTTAGTTGACAAAAGAAACATATCTTGTTGGTCTTGCCATTAAAAAAAAAAAGGCATGTCTTGTTGGTCTGAACATTCCTTAATATTATCATTTTTCATTTATGCTTTATATATTCGGAGGAAAGCTACATGTTATTTAACTGCAATTTAAATTCATTAATTCAGTAAAATATATATATATACACACAAATTAATACATATTAGTCCTGATCTTTGACTATCATAGGATATAGACTAGACTTTTGGTGTAGAAACAATGCAGAAATTGCCTCAAAATTACTATGAATAGTTTGAAGTGGGTCTTGAAGATTGATGCAAAGAGAGAGTCTTGTCTTTTTAAGATTGTTCTTGCTTGTACGGTGGTAGTTTTTTGGTGCACTAAATTTCAGAATGTTACAAAAACTGGTATAAATACGGGATATCTCATTTATATATATTGTCATATCAATTTTTTTATTTTTTATTTTTCCTTTATCATTGTAGCATTTCATAACTAGAGCAACTTGGAGGAGCTGGACTTGAGTTACAACCAGATAGATAGTTTCACGGGAAATGAAGATATAAAAGAATAGAAATGCTAGTTTTAGAGCTCATTCGTTTGCAAAGTTGAGATATAATTATAACATGCGAGATGTTAAACAATAATTACAATGTTTTTATATTATTTATCAGGTTTGAAGATCTCAAGCAAGCTGAAAATCCTGCGCTTGAATTACAACCTGTTAAAAAATGTTAGAACTCTACAAGCATTGGGTGCTCTATCGTCACTAAAGGTGTTACATATTAAGGCCAATCAATTGGAAGGATTGGTTACAAAAGAGGGTAAGATATATATAGATGTAACACTCAATAATTTTCTACTTCGATCGGTAGATTTCTGTGTTTTAGAGGATATATGTATAACTATGGGAATTGTCATATACATTCTCATATTTTTTGCTTGTCATTGCAACATTTCTCAACATGAGCAACTTGGAGGAGCTGGACTTGAGTTACAACCATATAAATAGTTTTATGGGAAATAAAGGTACAAAATGGCATAAATGCATTTTAATTTGGTTGACCTAATTTTTGGAGACCATCATACTCATTTGAAAAGTTGAGATGAAATTACTTACCGGATGTTAAATATTAATTACAAATTTTTTGCATTCTAATCAGACTTGAAGAGTGTAAGCAAGCTGAAAATCTTGCGCCTGGTATCAAATAGTCTTAAAAATGCCAGCATTCTAGATTCATTGGGTTCTATCCTCACTAACGGAGTTAGATCTCGGATACAATGAATTGCTAGGATTGGTTACAAAAAAAGGTAAGATATAATTGAGATGAAAATATATTTGTTTTTATGTATTTGCTGATATGAGTAGAAAATGTTTTGATCGTTGTACCAGAGATCCAATTTTTTCTTTTTCTTTGGGGCTGTGGAAATTGGGTCTTTTCTTGAGAGAGAGAGAATAAAATAGAGAGTGATCCCTTCTATAGAGAGATGGAGTGTGAGGGAGAGAGCTTCTCCAGAGGCTACAGAAATGGATAGAGAGAGAGAGAGCTTATGCGTTAAAGAGATGGAGTGTGAGGGAAGTTCTGTAGAAATCAAAGATTTTCAAATTTGCTGAAAGTTAATTTCCTAAAAGCCTCCTAAACCTGAGAGAGAATGGTTTATATAGATTTCAGGGAAAATTGAATATATTTGGAAAATAAATTTAATTCATGCAAAAAAATTTCCCCAAAATCTAATAAAAAAGGAAATTAAAATGGACTAAATCAACATTTTCCATATTGGTTCTAGGGCAGTTGGATCGGTTCATTTTAGGCCTTGAGAACCTAGCCAAGTTGTACCGGTCCGTTAGCATTTAGTTATGTATTATTGATCTATATAACTTGTTTGAATCGGATCCACATGGTACAATATTGTTTGCTTCGGGTTGAAGCCCGCATAATTTTATTCATGTGCCTTAACTCAAAATGCATTCTACCATGGAGATGATTATCAATCCTACAGGTATAGCACTTTTCATTTCCACGCTTGAGCGAAATTGAGATCGTATAGCACTTTCCCCTTTTCACACTCATACGATGTGAGATTGCATACCTATAACTTGTGCCTCTCATTCGATTGCCACATACCCTTGTGCTAAAATGAGTAGAAAACGTTTTCAACACCAAAGATCCAGGCTAGTTGCACGTGAAACTTTTTTACGTATAGGCATGGACCCAATGCCCCACTGGATTTTTTATATCTTAATTTTTTTAGAATTTATGAAGATGCCTCTACTAAAATTACAATTTACGTCAATCTCGAATTTTCTTGTCATAATCTTTAGATATGTATGGAAAATAATTTTCTTTTCAATTGTTTTTAGGTTTGGAAGGGTTAAACGACTCGGAGGAATTGTATTTAGATTATTCTTCTATTGACGCGAATTTTTTGCAAAATGTTGGAGTGATAACTTCTTGTCATTGGGATATGTTGGATTCAACGGCAGACTACCAGACCAAGGTTTATATGCTTTATACCATATTTAATTTTTTTGGATTAATGTTTTAATTAATAATGATACATCAATTCCACTATATTGTTTGGTTAATTTATTTGGATGTAGACAAAAAGATTCTAGTACAACTCAACATTAATCACTTGATTGATTGGTTTTTCTCATGTTGGTGTGAACTTTATAATCTTGAAGAGTTGAATCTGAGTGAGAATGGATTAAGTGGGACACTTCCTTGGTGTATGAGGAATTTAACATCACTCCGTTTTTTGAACCTCTCATTCAATAATTTCACTGGAAGTATTGCCTCTTCTCCATTTACCAGTCTCACATCACTCCAATATCTTTTCGTTACACATAATCATTTTGTGTTCCCAATGTCGTTTGCCTCATTTTATAACCATTCAAAGCTCAAGGTTATTTCAGGTGATAACAACAGATTCAGTAGGAGTGATGCAATTGTGTTTCATTCATCAATAATTCCGAGCTTCCAACTGCAGATTTTGTCTTTGTCAAATTGGAATGGCATCGAGTCTAGCGTAACACTATTTCGTTTTCTGTATCACCAGTATGACCTGAGAGTGATTGAACTATCACATAACAATCTGATAGGTGGAACATTATTTATTTCTTGGTTGCTAGAGAACAATACACAATTGGATTATCTTAATCTAAGAAGTAACTCCTCCTCCGGGCCTTTCCCATTGCCTTCTCATCATCATCTTCCTTGCAGCATTAGAAACTTACTAGATATCTCTAACAGTCATATTCATGGTCAACTGCCAACAAATATAGGTTCCATCTTTCCCGGTTTATATTATTTAAAAATGAATTGGAAGGTAGGATTCCGGTTTCATTAGGTAATCTGCATTATTTATGGAGTTTAGACTTGTCTAACAATTATTTGTCAGGATAAATACCTCAACATTTTGCAATTGGTTGCTCCTCCTTAACGTTCCTCAAACTATCCAATAATAATTTGGATCGTCAGATGCTTCCTGATGTTGTGAACCTAACTACCTTGGAGTATTTATATTTGGACAATAACCATTTTGAAGGAAAGATTCCAGATAGCTTGTCTACCGCATCTCTTTTGAGGGCATTAGACATTAGCAATAACAACATGTTTGGTCATCTTCCAATATGAATTGGGAATATACATCACATAAAAGTACTTGTCATGTCCAAAAATCATTCATAATATTGTTTTGATAAAAAAAAAAAAAAAAAATTGATTTGGATATAGACATAACAAAAATCTAATTCAACTTAACATTGGGTTTTTCAGGTTAGTGTGAGCTTTATAATCTTGAAGAATTGGATCTGAGTTATAATGAATTAAATGGGACACTTCTTTGGTGCATGAGGAATTTGACATCACTCCGCTATTTGGAACTTTCGTTCAATCATTTCATTGGAAATATTACCTCCTCCCCCTTTACCAGTCTCACATCACTCCAATATCTTTTCGTTTCACACAATGATTTTGTGATCCCAAACTCGTTTTCCGCATTTTATAACCATTCAAAGCTAAAGGGCATTTCAGGTGATCACAACAGATTGAGTAGTAGTAGTGACCACCCAATTTCAATAATTCCAAGGTTCCAACTGAAGGTTTTTACTTTGTCAAACTGCAATGCCAACCAGTTCAGTGAAAGACTATTCCATTTTCGCTATCATCAACATGACCTCATAGTGGTTGATCTATCACATAACAATCTGACTCATAGTGGTTGATCTATCACATAACAATCTGACTCATAGTGGTGGTGTGATGTTTCCAAATTTTTGCCATTTTTCCTTTTTCCAAAAATTTTGTCGCAGCAAGGGCATTCTCGTCTTTTACGGTTTTGTGTACCGGGCACTGCGGAGTGTGTTGGTTGTGTTCGAGAGTTGTTTGGAGCATTTCATTTAGTCCAAGACTCTTTGAAATGTAAGGGTAACTATTTTTGCATTTTTTTCATTTTTTGGGCCGGACGGTTCCGTGTGGGACCCGCTACCAGAATTATTGTATACAGGGATTTTGGTTGGGTCCATTTGCATTTCATGCATTTTAATTGTTAGATTTTATGTGGGTTATATATGTATGTGTGGTTAATGTATTAAAATGATTTAATAAAGGTTAAAAAGAAAAGAAAATAAAAATTGTGGTGGTGGAACCCACCACTCACATAATTTATGGCTAAAAGAGATCATTTTGATCTCACATTTCTCACTTCTCTTCCTCTCACTCCTATAAGTCTTTCTCTCAATTCCTATCTCACGTTTTATTTTTCATTCCAAGTGAAGCTTTAAATCTTGATTTCTCCTTCATTATTTGGTATTTTTAAGTGTCGTTTGTGACAAATTGAAGCTCACGACGAGATCTACAAGTTGATTGGAGTAATTTCTAATTTGGTGCACTTGGGAATTTCGGAATCTAGGACACAAAATTGGGAGTTTTTGCTTAGATTGAGGTAGGAGTCTCTAATCCATATATTTTTGGGCTTTTGTGAGTTAATTTCAAAAAATTTGTGTTTTAGCATGCTTAAATTGTGAAATTTCATGTAAATTTATTTACTTGTTATGTGAAAAGGTGTGGCTATGTTTTATGTGATATATGATAATGAAAGCATGCTTAATTGATGAATTTTCATGCATTGGTATTAAATTGTTATGTTTATGTGATGATAAAACATGAATTATATATAAAAAAATTTAATAAAAAAATAAATAAAGTTCTTATGAAGCATGTTAATTGTTGATTAATTTAAGCCCTTTGTGCCTTTAGTGCTAGTTTGGTGATTAGAAAACATGAAATATAATTTTTAGAAATTTTTATGTTCTAAAGCATGTATATTATTGAATAATAACTTGATAAGCATGAATTTCTCTATTTGTACAGCATTGAGATATATGAGACATTCATGCATAGCATTGGGCATAAAAAGGGAAAAATTATTTTGAAAGGAAAAAAGGGATTTTGGGACAAAGTTTTGATTAAAGTGATTTTTATGAAAACCCAGTTGCCGTGGAGCTACCAAAGGGCTGTGGTGTTAATATAACCTAGAGGGAACTAAGGAGATTGCTCTAGCGTGGTTGAGCTATCTGGGTCTTAAATGACGCTGCAGAGGTACCAACGGTCAGGGACAGTAGCCAATCTTTCTCTTGTGTTGCCGCGGAGTCACCAACGGATGTGTTATATTAAAGTTTGAAAAGTGATGGATTTGGATTTTGAAAATGGGGAGCGACATTCATGGCATCACATATCATGGCTAGGGCTGTAAATGAACCGAGCTGTTCATAAACAGCTCGGGCTCGGCTCGGGCTCGTTCATTAAGCAAACGAGCCGAGCTTGAGCCCAATTTCCAGGCTCGTTTTCTTAACGAGCCGAGCCTGAGCAACGTTGGGCTCGGCTCGCATAGGCTCGTGAACATGGGCTCGTTAAGGCTCGTTAGGGCTCGTGAACAAAGCTCGTATCAGGCTCGTTGCATATATCAGGCCCATTCTATATATATCAGGCCCATTTGTTTTTATTGTACATTTAAAATGTTTAGTCCATATTATTTTTAAGTTTGGACCAGCTCATATTTTTCATTAATATGGCCCAAGCATTATAACTCATTAGCCCAAAGAAAATCCACCATAGATCCATAGCCCAAATAAGATTTCGTCTCACCCATTAAATTAGAACCCATCTCATCCATTGATTTTGTAAGATATCAAAAAACCCTAAAACTACATCCCACCATTTGGATCTACCTCTTCTCCATAACATCGTCAGTCTCTCTCTCTCTATCACTCACTCACGAGTTACGAATCAACTCCACCGGCGACGACAACCCTTCCATCTACACAACTACCTCTCTGTCTCTCTTTAATAACTCAATCGCCATAACTCTCTCTCTCTTAGATCTGAATGCATCGTCTGTCATCGTCATTGTCGGCCGCGGTCCTCTGTCTTCGCCATGGACGTCGTCCGTTTCCCGCCGTCGTCTGTGCTGCTGTCCCTCTATCCTCGTCATCATCGTTGGCCATCCTTTGTCTTCGCCATCAATTAGGTACTGCATCAATTAATTTTTTGGCAAAACTTTATTTTCACTTTAATTCCATGGATCTGGACAACCTCAAAACATTCTTTAGGCAGTTGCAGACAATTTTGTTTAGCCTTTTCTTCTGCTTCCTCTAAATTTATGAAGACTAATGCTCAATGGCCACAGGTAGCTAAATTAATTTATCTCCAACTTATTTTCCTCCGTGATTTCTTTTTCTACTTAATATATACAATGTTTCAGTGGTTCTATAGATATTATTATCATGGGAATTTATAACTTTTTGATGTGTTGTATTTTCATAGAAAATGCATAATGCACTCATGCTCAATTTTGTCCTTTTTTCTTTTTTCGAAATTAACCCTTAATTTGTTCTTGAAACATAAAAGCTTCCACTACTGCACCTTTTTTTTTTTTTTTTTTTTTTTTTTTGCCCTTTTTCTTTTTGTTTAATTGATAAAGCAATGGAAAAAGGTATTGTGGCCTGTAGAATACTAATTAATTTTGAATTTTATATTCATTTATTTTTTTGTTAAACGAGCCGAGCCCGAGCTTTTAAAATCAAGACGAGCCCGAGCCCGAGCTCAAATTTTTGAGCTCGTCACGAGCCGAGCCCGAGCCCGAGCTGATCCCATAAACAAACGAGCCGAGCCCGAACAGCCTAAAGCTCGGCTCGGCTCGGCTCATTTGCAGCCCTAATTATGGCACGGCATTGTTATTTTGGAATTGGAATTAATGTTGTATTCCTTCTTGGTATAGTATGACCTTGCTTCCTATTTCTATTCATTGTTTGGATTCATGAGGTTACAAGAGGTGTGTCTTAGGTACCACCTACTGAGCTTTATGCTCATCCTATTATTTTAACATTTTTCAGGACATGGGAAAGAAGTGGCGTATGACATTCCACCACATGCCTAATTTGGATTAGAAGATCATTTTGCTATTTTTGTATCTAAGTCTCACTATATATATATATA